TAAAATAAAGAGAAAATTAAGAGTAAGAGAACCGACGGTAACCTGAACGAGTGACGGTTGGTGAAGTTCTGAAAATCCTTTGCAGTCGGCTTGTCAGAGCAGGCGGTAGGCAGAAAGAGTCCAAAATGTCAGAGCAAGTTCAGGGGTCCGAATGTTCTCTCACAAAGTTCTCAAGTGTGAATGACTGAAGTCAACACTCCCTTATATATAGGCGAAGTGGGAAGGCGAAGGGTCACTTCCAGAATTCAAAATTTGGGCGGGAGAATCTCTCGGCCTTTCGCCGAGTGACACCTGTAGCAGGCCGTCGCCTGTTACAGTGCGGCACCTGTCACAGGTAACACGTGACCAGTCACGTGCCACTTGTGAGGGGCAAATGATTAGGGGATTTTGCTCCCACCAATCGGAATGCGCCACGTGGGCCAATCAGGTCCTGCCAAGTGTCCCCCAGTTGGAACTGTCGGGGCTTGCCACGTGGCACGCGCTTATTCGTCCACCTTGGACCTATTATGTCATGACACGTGGCATACTCCATGCCTAATGGAGAAACCGGCCACCCAGGCCCAACTTTCGAGGGAAGCCCAATCATCCCTAGGTTAACCTAAACCTAGGATTGGCACGTTTCCCAAGGTTATAAATACCTCCCTTAATCCTCATTAAGGGGGGATTACAGGGATTACAGAAGTTAACAGGCTGATCACGCTAACAAAGCAGATTACCTACATTAAACACTCTCACCTAGAGAGACCCAATCATTTTAATTTCCGCATTAATTACTCCTTAATCAAGTACTAACTTGACTGTTGGAGGCGGAGCTCCCACCACCAGGAGTCTCCGTTGTTTTGCAGGTACAGGCGTCCGGTTCCAGTCTCGGAATTGTAACTCTCCCGCATGACATCAGAAAACCCCGAAACAACATTGGCCCATTAGCTATACAATATTAGGCTTAACACCCCTTCAAGGTCGAGCATGCAAATCATAAATGCCCAACTTGCCAAGTAAATACAAAAATTGGTGTTTGCTTAAGGTCTTAGTGAATATATCCGCGAGTTGATCAATTTTTTTCACATAAGACGGACTAATAACCCCTTCCTGAATTGCATCCCTAACATAATGACAACCAACCTCAATATGCTTGATGCGTTCATGAAAGACCGGATTTTGCGCAATTTATAACTCTGATTGACTATCACAAAACAAGATCATCGCACGTGGATGCGAGACTCCCAAACTGTCAAGTAGCGCCTTCAACCATTTCAACTCTGAAGTAATTTCCGACATTGAACGATACTCTGCCTCTGAAGAAGACTTAGAGACAGTATGTTGTTTCTTGGTCTTCCAAGAAATCGGAGAACCACCAAGAAACACCAACCAATCAGAAATCGATCGTACCGTCTCGTCAAAGGACAACTAGCCCAATCCGAGTCACACCATCCTTTCAAATGTAGATCATTATCTGAACCCAAAAGGATCCCTTGACCCGGACAACCTTTCAAGTAGCGTATCGCACGAAGTGCTGCCTCCCAATGATCGTGACAAGGTTGTTGCATAAATTGAGATAAGATATGAACTGTATAAGCCAAATCGGGTCTAGTGAAAGACAAATAGATCAAACGACCCACAAGACGACGATACATTTCAGGGTCATCAATAAGAGGTGTCTCCGATTTAGCCAGAGTATGATTTTGCTCAATCAGAGTACCGGTCAGTCATGTCCCTAGTAAATCAGATTCTGCGATAATATCAAGATTATATTTCCGTTGACGTAAAAATATGCCCTCTGGACTTTGTGCAACCTCAATACCAAGAAAGTACTTCAACACATCCAAATCTTTCATATGAAAACAATCACTCAAATATGACTTAAAAGTAGATATTGCAGAAGAATCATTCCCCAAAATGATTAAATTATCAACATACACAAGGAGATTGAGATGAATAGCCTCATGATTCAGAGTGTATAGAGAGTAATTAGAATACGATTGCAAAAAACCGTACCTTTTGAGAGAGCCAGACAATTTGGAAAACCAACAACGGGGTGCTTGTCGAAGGCCATACAAAGATTTCCGTGGGCGACATACCATGCCAAGTTAAGAACCATGAAATCTAGGAGGGGGTTTCATATAGATTCCTCATCAAGTTCACCATGAATAAAGGCATTATGAACATAAATTTGATTCAATTCCCAATTTTTAGCAACAACAACAGCTAAGAAAGCACGAACGATGACCATTTTAGCTACGGGAGCAAATGTCTCATTATAATTGATACCTTTGACTTGATGATTACTGAAAATAACAAGGCAAGCCTTCAATCTTTCAATTGTGCTATCTGAATTATGTTTCACCTTGTAAACCCATCTGCACCCGAGAGCCTTCTTCCCCAGAGGTAATTATTCCATTACCCGAGTTTCATTATCTTCCAAGGTAGAGATTTCTTTTTGCATAGCCTCTCTCCACCCCTCATGTTGCATAACCTCTTTGAAATTACGAGGCTCAACCATCGTATCTACAACAGCAATAAATATACGGTGTTGCAAAAAAAATTATCACAATTCACAAAATATGCTAAAGGATTAGGAGTACTTGAGGAGCTTGGATTGAGCGATGAACTGGGAGAGATAGATGGACTTGCTTGGAAGAGATATAGTATGTGCAACATAATCCCGATGCCAACCCGATGGACGACGCTCACGTGTACTACGATCAAGCGAAAAAGAAGTGTCGACATAAATTGTAGCATCTGTAGTAGAGGAGCTGCTAGCAACTGCTGCACTATGGCTGGCAGCAGGTGCCATGGGCTGGCCATGGTTGGCAGCGTTCTCCGCATGGGGGCTGCAGAGGGGACTGCTTGTCTCTTCTAAAGCCTCCGCATTATTATTTGTAGCATTGGCTTCCTCACTCACCTTCAAGACCAACTCCAAATCATCTACAAACTCATGATTAATCCCTACATTATTTTCATTTGCATTAGGGGCAGCCACATTATTATTATTAACAATAGCAAAAGGAAATCCATTTTCATGAAAATTGCACATCACATGACACAAAAATATCTCTCGTCTCAATATCATATAATTTCCACCCCTTTTTGCCATAAGGATAACCTATAAAAACATATTTCCTACTCCTAGGAGCAAATTTTTCATCTTTGGATCTTTGATAATGAGCAAAACAAAGACAACAAAAAACTCTCATTTTATCAAAAGTAGGTTCTTTTCCAAATAAGATCTCATACGGTGTCTTATTGTCTAGTAAACGAGAGGGAGTACGATTAATCAAATATACCGCCTCAAGAACACATTCACCCCACAAATCATCGGCAGATTGCCTTGAAACATTAATGCACGACCGACATTTAATATATGTTGGTGTTTACGCTTAACCCGACCATTTTGTTGTGGAGTACCAACACAAGAAGTTTGAAATAAAAGGCCATGTTCATTATAGTAAGGAAGCATGTGTTTAAATTCCGTATCATTGTCACTCCGGATACATTTCACATACACAACAAATTGAGTTTTAATCATAGCAAAGAATGAGAAAAAAGATGAATAGACCTCGGTTTTGTCATTCAACAAGTAAATTAAACCCAAACACCCCTTGAAAAATCATCGACAAGGTTCCGAAAATAGTGTGCACCACAAGTTGAAGGAGTTTTATACAACCCCCGCAGATCACAATGTATCATTTCAAAAATACGGCTAGCACGACTATCCCTTATAAGAAAGGTATTCTTGGTTTGCTTAGCTTGAGGACAGATTTCACATGCCTTATGTAAATATTTACTACCAGAACTACCTTTAATAGCAGGGAGTAACTTGACAATTCTTTCCAGCAGATGCCACAACTCAAATGTAGAGACCTCCGGACCTGAGACCGCACATACTTTTGGAATACGACAGAAATAGTAGAGTCCATCTATTTGTTCACCGCCTCCAATCAGGCTCCCCGAGTTTTGATCTTGTATAGCACATAAAGAATTAGTGAATCGTACATAACAATGAGAGTCATCAATCAATTTAGAGATCGATATCAAATTGCAATTTAATTTAGGAACAAATAAGACATGTTCAAGAATAATTCCACCCGCTAAGAAAACACGACCCTCCTTTGTAGCAACTGCTTGAACACCATCGGGAAGGCCAACATGGCATGGTAGAATGGATTGAACATCTAGTAGAGAGGACTCGTCACCCGTCACATGATGAGAGGCTCCTGTGTCAATAATCCATGACAAAGAAAAATAATCACCAATTCTTATGTCTGGCAAACAATTGGTGGTGAGATTAGTGTATGTTGTTGCCGTAGCGTGAGCAAGGACAGCACGCTACGACAACAGCAGGCAGTGCGTGGTCGGCGGCAGTAGAGGGAGTAGTGAACGAGGCAGCGACAACCTGACTCGTTGGAGAAGCTCTCCCTTGGTTGCCGTATTTTTCGAGCCACCAATCGGGGTAGCCATGGACCAAAAAACAAACAGCATAATCGTGACCCAATCGATGACAGTGGGTACAGTACAATTCGACTTATCATGTTGCTTCGATAGAGAATTATCGTACTTCAAAGTACTTTGTTGATTGTAAAAGTGAGAAAAAGAACCATCTTGCCTTCATCCACCATTGTTGATCAAGTAGTGAAGTGTTAGAGAAGAGATTTTTTTTTTTTTTGGGTTTTAGAGAGAAAAATTTAGGGTTTAGAAATTTAGAGGCTCCGATACCATGTCAGAAATTGATTTTCCTCAGTTGTATTGTATGAACAAGTATATATATACAATTTAATAAGAGATTAGGGCCGGTAACATTGGCCCATTAGCTATACAATATTAGGCTTAACAATAACTTAGGAAGTTTACATGATTGTAGTAAAAGTCTAAAAGATGGACTAAATAATCATTCAAATGAAAATCTGAAATCAGGAGAAAAGCTTTAACCACTTGCGTTATCCCTCACTCTCTTTTTATTTAATGATTAAATGAAAAATAATCATTCAAATGAGAACAAATATTCATGCATAAGTGCAACATCCGGATGTAGATAACAATTTCTACCGTTTTTTTGTTACCACTCCGGCACTACCACCACAATGATGGATTCTGGCAAAATCTCCGTGAATGGGCTATTGCGAGATTTGCGACGGGGTAAGTTAGAATCAGTCGCGAATCAATTGAGCATTACCTTAGATCTGACGGTGGACATTACTCCATGTATGCGTATCATTAATCTTCTTCCTCCGTTTTCAATTTTTTTTTTCTCCTTTGGAGCTTTTCTCACTTTCACGCTCACCTCTTTCTGTCTACTCCATTGAAGCGCGAACTCATTCTCCATTGAAGCGGCTTCTGAGCTTGCCCTCCTCCATTTGAAGCAGCTTCAAAGGTAAGTGTTTCATTTACTTTTTTTTCTTTTGCAAGTCATCAAATATCAATTTCACAATCTAGAATTTATCGTTAATTTAATAGCAATATTGTCAATTTAGGGTTCTTTTAATGTTGATTATTGAACTCTTGGTTATAATTGCTGAACATTAAAACTATCGATTTTGTTGCTAGAATGTTGCTGTGTGCAATTTACGTCGTTTTTGTAAGCAAGAAGATTGTTATGCTATTTTTCGATCTTAATTTGATAATTGTTTCAGATGTAATTGCTAATGTGTTGCAAGCTGTTGTTTATAATTCTTTTGTAAGGCATAACTATGAAAATTAACCCTTTTTCATTGTGCTATGGTGGCCGCCCTTCCGGCTTAGGGACCGGTCTGGTTGTTGCTATATATGCATAATGTGCTTGGAATTTGACTGGAAATTTATGTATACAGCTAAAACAAATTAACTGTTGTAATTGGTTTATCGAAAACCTAATGAATGTATGTTTCGACTTTTTGTCAAAGATATCGGAAAGGATTTCAAACAGCGTGTCATTCTCTGTTACTGCAGGTTATGTTACATGTTGTTGGACTTATTTTTATGTAGAACGTCTTGAGCCATGATATGAGTTTCGTTGATCTTGAATAATCGCAATCATGGGAACCAAGGCGGCATTGAAGTGGTCTAAGAAGATTACAACATCACAGGTGGAACAGCTAATTCGAGCTGAAAAAGACTTGTCTAAGGCTATTGCGATATTTGATTCGGCAACAGCTGAGTACAAAAATGGCTTTAAACATGACCACACTACTTTTGGGCGTATGATCTCTAGATTAGTGTCTGCAAACCAGTTTAGACGTGCAGAGGAGCTCCTTGACAAAATGAAGGAAGAGAAGTGTCAGGTTAATGAAGATATAGTCCTCTCCATTTGTCGAGGATATGGTCGAGTTCATAAGCCATTGGAGGCTGTTCGGATTTTTAAGAACGTGAAAGGATATGAATGTGAACTCACTGAGAAGTCTTACATCACTATCTTTTCCATTCTTGTTGATGAAAACCATTTAAAGTTGGCCATGAGTTTTTACCGTTACATGAAGAAAAAAGGTATTCCACCATCTGTTGTTTCTCTTAACATCTTGATTAAAGCCCTTTGTAAGAGCAGTGAGACAATTGGTGCTGCCATTAATATATTTCGTGAAATGCCACATCGTCAGTGCCCTCCAGATTCATATACTTATGGCTCATTGATTAGTGGGTTGTGTAAATGTGGAAGAATTGATGAAGCAAATGAACTTTTCAGAGAAATGGAGACAAAGGGTTGCCTACCCTCTGTTGTTACGTATACTACTTTGATGCATGGTCTGTGCAAATCTGAAAAGTTAGGTGATGCTCTGACATTGTTTGAGGAGATGAGAAGCAAAGACATTAAGCCAAATGTATTTACCTACAGTGCGTTGATGGATGGTCTTTGTAAGCATGGACGATCCTTACATGCCTTAGATCTACTGGACATGATGCTTCACCAACATCTTTCTCCCAACATGATAACTTATAGCACTCTAATTCCTGGACTTTGTAAAGATGGGAATCTTTGTGAAGCTGTAAAACTTTTTGACCGAATGAAACTTCAAGGTCTTAAACCTGATGCTGCACTGTATGCTAAGATCATTACTGGTTTCTCTGACTTGAGCAGGTTCCGGGAGGCTGCCAATTTCCTAGATGAAATGGTCCTTGCTGGAATCTCACCCAATAGGTTAACTTGGAGTACTCATGTTAGGACTCATGCTGTTGTCATACAAGGACTTTGTGTGGTTGATCTCAATCGAGCATTTCATGTGTACCTAAGTATGAGAACTAGGGGTCTGTCTGTTGAACCTGAAGTGTTTAGTTCTCTTATCAAAGGCTTCTGCAAGAAAGGGGACTTGCACAATGTTTGTCGCATTCTTGATGAGATGGTTTGTGATGGTTGTCTACCTGATGAGGAGATATGGAAGACTATTTTAAGAGGTTTTCTTAATCAAAGAAAGATGTTGGAGTCCATTAAAAGCTTTCATATGCTGTTTGTACAGAATTTTGATGAGCTTGAGAAGTTATCTTTAGATCAAAATACCTATGAAATATAATTGTTTGAGACTAAGTATATAGTAGTTCAGTGGGTTTAAGTTTTTGATGGTTCTCCTTTTTAGTAGCTTCCGGCTTTAACAATGATCTTGATTGAAGGATATCTCCTGCAAGGTGGGTTGCTGTTTACAGGTTTGTTTTCCTTTATTTTTTCTTTCAGTTCTTGTCCAGGGTACTACTGTGAATCTATGTCTTGACTGTTTTTTCTATACATCTTTTTATGGCACTCGAATTAGTTGTAAGTCAATTTTGATCTACAGCATGTGATCTGGTGCAAAATATACATTAATCAGGTATTTTTGTCAGTTCTAATGCTCAGAATATTAAGGTATGTTATCAGCAATAAATTTATAATTTATAATCATATACTTAAAAACAAGACCGTATCAAAGAAGATTTGCTTGATTTTGGAATAGTCTGAGATCTGAATGCAAATGAATGTGACTAGAGGTGTGAGGTCATTACTGTCTTATGGCTGTGCCAGTATCCTTTGTTTTCACGAAATGATGTTAATTATTTAGGGCCCTTACACAAAAAGAATTATATTGCTGTGTTGTTCGTCATCGGTTGTTCCTAATGTAGATTATGACCTTTTATTTCCACTTTATTTCCCAGTTTTTGTTCATAGCACTAGGATTCTTGTGGTACCTCTTTATTTTGAACAACATGTGAGTTTTCCTGTAGCAATTTTTTTAACAATGATGAAACAGTAGCTTAAGTTTAGGCTTTTAGCTGCTTGTTTCTTATTGCAGAATGCAGACTTTTATTCGGTAATCCTGTGTTCATCCTTCTTTCTCTTTCCATTTTTTGTGTAAGTAGTTTATTTATTTATTTTAAATTCATGCTGTAATAGGATGAACTGATCTTATGAGAGCATTTTATAGGGTTAATGGAGATAGTGAAGCAGCTAGAGCTATATACAAATATACAATGTAATGCACATCGAAGATATACAATTTGGAAGTTAGTCACAGAAGAACATGTGTAAGACAATCGTGTTACATCAAATGATCAATTAGCAGTTACGGGGAAACCTATCCCATGGCGTTGTGTAGGGAATGCTACAAACAGCATACTGCAAAGTACCCCTATTCCTACAGGTAGTACTGTAAGAATCTCCTGGGTCTCTTTTGATGGCGTTGGATAGAAGCATTGAACCGTATTCTTGTCAAATAAAGCAATTGCTGCAAAAACCAATACTGACATGAAAGCATGCAGAAAATCTATGAACCAAAGCCGGTACTTGGCAGCAAGCTGGGATGGAATAGTTGCTGGCCCATCTATCACCCACAGGCCGTTGAAAGTGGCAAACCCGTAATAGATTTTCCCATCGTTGTCCTTGAAGCAATCAGTGAAGCTGAGTAGGAATGATGACAACCCACAAAGAGCAATTAGGATGGAAGTCATCGTTCGGCTCACTGGGTCGCATTCACCCTTGTTTGTGAAAACTGGTGCAAGAAGCTGAAAGGCCATAACTGTTCCAGTTGGTAGTAAATTGGCCAAGTGAGCTGTGCTCTGAAATGTCTGGCTAATGGCTGCTTGTATTGGATTCCTGTCGTCTATAGAAGGTATATCTCGGAGAAGGGGAACCTTTTGCTCTTCATCACTCTGATGAGCTTGTTCACTGATTGCATTGACATCCATGTCTCGCTTTCTTGATCTTTTTTCTGATTGTTCTGTCCTGCTTTTTACAGGTCTTTGAGAGGCTGACTGCTTTATAAGAGGGGGAGGTTGGGTAATAATTGCATTGAGTAGAGCAAAAGGAATGGGAGGGCTGGTTTGTAATGCCTTGCAAGAAAGAAGAAACTAAGTTATATTTGAGGTAAAGCTTACTTTATTAGAATCATGGGAAAGTTGCTCCTGTAATTTAGTTCATAAAGATATTATCCATTGTTTACAGTTGTGAAACTATAAGAGCTACTACGATGCATATCTTAATTTGACATCGGTCTAAAAGATGAGAGGGCACACATTTTGGGAGATTGCTTTGACTTCGACTTATTGCAATGTTTTGTGTATAATCATTGCATCTTTTTTGCAACTGCTGGAAAATTCTACTTCGTATTATGTTGATTATAGAGCATTTGAAAGGGATATTTTTTGCCAAAGTTTATAGTAAACCACAATTAAGGGTTGCTTTTAGATATATCTCATCCTTTTTTGTCTTGTGTTTGGAGTTCAACCTAATTTTCTACTTAATTTGTTGCTGATTGACTTCTTGATAAAGTTTCTTGCATGGTTGCATATCAGTTAGCTTAAATTTTGTGATGATAATTTATCTTCTCTTGGATTTAAGAAACCCTTTAATTTGGCCTGAAAGAGTGGTTTATTAATAATGATAACTTATGGTGGTTCCTTATAGCATGTGATCACCGAATGTCGTATATCGGAGTACTAAGTATGATATTACCTGTTTGCGAATTTCATTTTTTCTTTTTGAAAATTCTGTTTTGGGTGACATATTGATGATTTAGTAATATTGATAAGAGGCTCATTAAGGAGATTTTTTGGAATTCTTATTGCTTAAGACATGAAAATTATGTAATACACATGGTAGATACTAGATACTGAATTTTTAGTTTCGGGATGGTAGTAGGATCCTGCTTCTCTACTAGTCCGTACTCTTTGCAGGTCAACTCAGTCCATTTTTGTAGGCCGTTGGGTTGGGTTGGGGGGGGGGGGGGGGGGGGGCGGGGTGGTGGGTAAGAATCGTACTACTAGACCAAGCTCTCTTAGCTATTTTAATTGTATAATGCTTTGTCCATTACTTTCATCCCTTGTACGGTATGGTTTCCAGAAAATTAGTTGTGCTGTTTTGTTTGCATTTACTAATAATATTTTTTTTGTTTGCGTGGGTGTTGCTTTTATTCTAAAACGTCTCGAGTAACTTGTTTAATACAGTAGACAATTTAGAGTATAATTTTTTATAAAGATTGTATCCCTTTTGTGTTGTTGCTTTTGTTTATAACGTAACGGCTCCTTTTTTGTGTGCCTACATTGTACTTTTGTAGGACGTCGTTTATATTGGTGTATATTTGTAATTTGTATTTATTTGGATGCTTGTATTATTTTAGCCATCCCATCCCAAATTACAGAGAAATGTGTTAAATCATCTTTTCTTTTATGAATTCGATTATTTCGTTTTACTATTCGAGTCTGCCATTGACTTTCGCTATTAGTGAGACGATTTTATTGATTTGTATTTTACTTTCTTGGAAAAATATGTTGCCTATAAGAAATCTGAATGTTTTACCGAATTTGATTTCATGTTGAACAAAATGTCCTCGGCCTTAGAACAACTCCAATGGCAAATGACAATTAGCTTGGTATGTCACATAAGCTTTTAAGCTAATTGTCATTTTAGCTATTTAGAGTTTCAATGGCTAGTTATAAGCTTACAATTTAAAAGAATCCCACTTCCTTAATTAATTTTTTATATTTTTTTTTATTTATCTATTTTTTTTTTTTTTTTTAACTTTGGTAAGTTTTTTTCCTAGCAAATTAGCTAGGCAAAGTTAATTTGGTTAGCCAAGCTAATTGTATTTTCTAGCTCCAATGGTCAAGCTAGTAGCTAGAGACTATTTAATATTGCAAGCAAGTCTCTAACTACAACCATTGAAATTGCTCTTAGAGATTATACCATTAGAGAGACCTACATAAATGCGTTGTATATACTCATTTAACATGAGATTATGATTACATAATAGTATGAGCTGGAAAACAAATGAAATACTCACTCTGTTTTTTTTTAAGTGCCTTATAGTGACATATTACGCATGCCGATGCAAAACTTTGAGCAATAACATCTTTAATTATCATTAACTATAAATTATAACAATTGAATATTATTAATCTATTCATTGAGATGATTCTAACAAATACCCACAAGACTATATTTTTTCTTATGTATAATTCACAAACATTGGTCAAAGTATGTTTAATGAATAGTGCCAAAAATTCCAAATGAGGCACTTTAAAAAAACGGAGGGAGTAGTGGATAAAAATCTACGAAGTAATTTTATTGTAAAATGATTCCTAATTATGAGTTGATACAATCAATAAAGAGCAGAGGAAGTAAATGATTATCCTCTAATCATCATCATCATCTTTGCCCAACAGTAATCAAGATTTCTTTAGTCAAACCATCTTACATGAGTTTTGGAAGCTCTGAGCTTAGCAGCAGAAAGAGCATTCAAGAAACCAGATTAATGTCAAGCAAGCGAGATCATTTGGCATGGAAGGAGTAACCAATTCCATGGCGTTGTGTAGGAAACAAAACAAACAAGAAACTCGAGGCGAATCCAATTCCAACAGGAAGTGCGGTGATTATCTGCTGTAAATCTCTCGATGGTGCGGGAAAAAGCATCTTACTGTATTGTTTTCAGACAGTGCAATTGCTGTGAAAACAAATACTGATGTGAAACCGTGCACAAAATCCAGGACTCTCAGACGGTACCTGGAAGCCAGCCGTGGTGATAGAGCTACCTCAGAATCTACCAGCCACAGACCATTAAAGGTTGCGAAGCCATAAGAGATATTTCCACGTTTGTCTCTAAAGCTGTCGGTGAAGCAGAGAATAAACACCGATAATGCACAGAGCGCGAGAAAGGTGGAAGCCATCACAACATTTACATGGTCGCAATCACCTCGATTGGTGAAAACAGGAGAAAGAAGGTGGAAGGTTAAGATGGTTCCTGTTGGTAGTATATTGGCTAAGTTTGTTGTGCCTTGTAATGTCTGACTAAGAATTTCATGTCTTCCATTCCTCCTTATCATTGTATCTGATAAAACTTCATTATCATCGAGGAAAGGCTCGGAGTTTGACATCTTCACTCTTTTCTTAATCTTGGTTTGCTTGCTCTTAATTTTCATGACTATTTAACAGAATTTTGGCACATTTGGGGTCATTTAATGGCAATATATTTAGGCGATGGCAAGAAATATAAAAATTGAGTTTGGTAATGCTGACCTTTTCATTTCAATGTTACATAACGGATGACATGCTCTTAGCTTGTGTTCTTGACCCCCAATAGTAATTTTTGAAACTTAGACAATTATTATGGTAGCATTAGAAGAATTTTTGCAAATTGTGGTGAATATTTGAAATTCAAAGAATACTTGCTAACATAAGGATCAATTGGCGTTTATAAATCCTTTTGTTTTTTTTTTTTTTTTTGTGAGACGGGTGGCGTTTATCTATCTTTATTTTCATTCACTGCTTGCAACTGCAAGAACTTGACTTTAGACATCAATTGACTTTAAACATTGAACATATAAATGTAAGCTAATTCCCCATTTATGAATAACTTGCGTTATTTTCCATGTCTTGGATCTGGATGGTAAGACCATAAAAAATGGACTGATAAAAAGAAACGCTTGCTTAAGAGTATTATGGGCTTTATTACCCAATATTATGTTTTTTGGGCTGCAACTGCTGTACTATAAATTGTGTTTTACTGCAACGTATTATGGGCTTTTGATTTTTTAAACTCCCAATGTCTCTATCATTATACATTCAAATAACTCTCCACATCCAAAATTAATTAAAATTAATGTATCCAACTTTTTTTTTTTGAGTGTGAGGGATAAGTGATATAGAGATCGATTCTTATCATTTTATGGCTTTCTAAACTTAAAAAAAAAAAAAAATGTATTCCATATTTTTAAAGGTAAATATCACTAACGAATCCGCCATATAGGCATATATCAGGAGAGGGAATGTGCTCAAAATTTTAGAAAAACAATCACTTTAGATAGTTAAATACTCCCTTTATCTGTAAGAGATTGCTTCAAATTTCGATTATAAAGAGAGCTAGTAGGGTTGCAAAGTTGCAAGTGCACAAATTAACAGATATGGAGCAATTTTTTAAGGATATATATTTTTAAGATATGAGACAATCTTTAACGGAGCTAGGGAATATCACATTGATCGTGAGTAACCACTTGAGTAAAACATGATCTGTACCTGTTCAAGTCGCACATTCACGTTCATAGCTAAAAGAATAGGGTGAAAATTTGATTACAGGTAATTTTACCATAGTCTTACAAAAGACTTGATTGATTAAACCCAAATTGATGTGATGCTCCTCCCGACAATAGGTTTTAACAATTTCCTGATTGAAGAATTTTTAAATGCTGCTAATAAATTCCCTTTATTTCAATTCATACAGTAATTCCTATTCTCTTTTTGAATTTTAAAAATGAAGAAGCTTCCATCAACTTCAAAATCTGCCCAATTCTCCCTAATAGCAGCCTTCATAGGACATACTTCGACATGAGATGAGCTATGACTTTATGAGTGAGATAACTAAAAGGTTTACTATAATACGGAGTAATAATAATTATAATTATTATATGCGCTGAGAGTACTTGTCGTGTCTTTTTCATTGATTAAACATCAATATATATATACAAGAGTATACTAGGGTTAGGCTAAAGATACATTAGTAAAATACAAACTAATAATATACTGTTAGATTTCGAGAAAACTTCTCAATGTAGAGTGTGTACTGATCAATATATATAAAGTTTTACAAGACTCGTAATTCTACTACGATAAGGATACAAGATATATACAAATATTATCCTAATAATCTGCGACAAATATTATCATAACTATAATATCTATCACACCCCCGCAATCATAGCGGGAGGAGGTCGTACGCTAAGATTGGACCTAATATCCAAAAATAAGTCTCGTGGTAGGCCTTTTGTGAAAATGTACGCAAACTGATATCTAGAAGGAACATGTAGAACCCGAACTTGTCCCAAAGCAACATTTTCTCGAACAAAGTGAATATCCATCTCCACATATGTTTGGTGCGTTGTGTTGTACCGGATTCCCAGAGAGGTAGATAGCACCGACATTATCACAATAAACAATAGTAGCCTGTCAAAGAGGACAATGTAACTCTAGTAAAAGCTTACGAAGCCAACATGCCCCAGCGACAACATTTGCGACGCCTCAATATTCTGCTTCTGCTCTCGATTTAGATAAAGTATGTTAACGCTTAGATGACCAAGAAACGAGGTTGTCCCCAAGAAAGCAACAATAACCCGATGTGGAGCGCCAGGTATCGGGACAACCTCCCCATTTAGCGTCAATGTAAGTAATCAAACGATTAGAAACATACGGATATAAGTGTAAGTCATGAGATTCTCAGGGATCATGCATAAAAAGACACACCTGTTGTACTGCATAGACAATATCTAGCCTGGTAAAAGTAAGATAATGAAGAGCATCTGCTAAACTGCGATACAAAGTAGGATCCTGAAAAGGTGGTCCTGCATACACTAGATTATTTACATAATCTAGCATGCGTCGTAGTAGTGTATAGTTACTAGTATTCAACTTCAGATAAAAAACAAAAGGGTTTTTCTAAGCTATACCCCTAAGGTAGTCGAGTTTCTAAAGTGTACCCATGCTTTTTCAAGTTTCTAAGTCGTGCCCTTCAACTGCTTATCAATACTAAATTGTACCCTTATTAGTTGTTTAAAAGTTAATTGAGAGTGTGATTTCGTGGCTTCAGTTTTCGTTATTAGGGTTGCGGTGGCTAAGATTTTTTTTCTCCTATCATTTCCTTACCTTTTATCATCTTTTTATTAAATTTATAGTTAACTTTAGGTGACGTGAAAATCCCAAGGAGGGTACCATTCATTAATGGTAGTGAGTTGAGGGGCACAACTTAGAAATTTGAAAAAGCATGGGTACACCTTAATTCGATTATCTTAGGGGCATAGCTTAGAAAAACCCAAAACAAAAAGTCCAGTTTCTCTTTTGGTATATTCTCATCCTAGATAAATTTTATCATTGCCTCTCAATCTTTCTTCCTCATTGTTTAAGTGTAAGTCCGACCTAGCAAGGAATAGGTGAATAGCAACCTTTTTGAATTATAGACGGCCAAATTTATTAGCCATTGCTTATTATGATACTCTATATCAATGTTTCGACATAATCATTCTTTATAACAATGTATCAAAGCCCTTTTAATATATTCCAAACTTGACAATTCAACCAACTAATTTAATTTATAGGATACTATAATCAAAGAAAACTTTGAATATGTCCGGCCAATTATCCAAAATTTCAAATCAAGACTAGCCATTTTATCCCACTATTGGATCGTCAATAGGAGAATTAATCAATTCAAAAAGTTTTATTAGATGTTAGGAAATGAATCTTGACTTTATTATAAACTAAGTAGAAATTTTGTACAATATATACGCTACTCATGTCTCATCTTTAAATATACATATATGGAACTTGGTACGGTAGTCCTTTAAGTCATATATTTTCAAATATAATTAAAAAATATACTAAATCGCTAAACAACTCCTAACGTACATTTGATTGTAATCTCACAAGTTAGGTTTTTTGCTGCCTACTCCTCGCTGCTTCTATCTATGTTTGTTAGCATGTATTAGATTTATATATATAAAGTAATTGTATGTTCTTAAATTCATTTACAAAGATCATTTTACACGAGTACAACGTATATACCATCAATCTCTTACAATTTTGTCAAAAACTCTTCAAGTGTTAAGTAATTCAATCAGACTAAATTGTAATTGTATTTGGTAGTTGTCGGTCGGTAAATATCTCTTATTTATGAAGGAAATCCATAAATATCAACTCATCAAACTTAAAATTGGATGGGTTGCCCAAAACATGTTATTTTACTCAAAGATAAACAGTCAACCACTCAACCTGATATATTTGGACTTAGCTAACACGGAGTACTTTTAATTTACTCGTATTAACAACATGCTCAAACAATCAATACAACCAACTTAATGTCAATTGATCAAACAATCCAAATAAACTAATTTTTAGGCAATTAATATAAGTGGCCTAATTAATCGACAACCAACTAACTAATTAAAATCTCATTGCTACAGTAATTTGCCAAAAAAATTGTCTTATCTAATGTTATTGTCATCTTATTCATATCACAGTGTTGTTTTCATACGAAATGAGATTAGTTGACATGTGTTTAGACTGCTAATCAGTTAAGCCGCCCAATCAATTTCGTTGACATGAAAGTAATTACCCTTTAATCTTTTATGAATGGTTTGATCAATGATAGAGTATAAAACATATTCTTAAGTTTCAACCCTTTACCATTAACTTAAAATTTTGATTAAGATGGTCCTTTAACATAGTATCAGAGCCTTTGGTTGAAATGATCTTGGGGCTCTATCAATCAACATTATATGCCTTGCACAAAATTAATCAAGGTTAAATTTTACCCAAAAAAAAAAAGAAAACGAGTTGAGCCCATGATTAATATTTTTAAGTTATTATTATGATCTAAATCCTAAATTAATGACAGTACAAATTGAGAATGCTTGAACACAAAGCAAGAAGCCAAGAATATTACACGCTCAACTCACCGAAAGTGAAAATTTCCAAAAATTTTCACTTGGGAAGGTAAAAGGTTTTTGATTTCTTGAACTTTATTATTAACCACATATATTATGCTACGTACTTAGCTTAGGTTTTACTCTTTTTAATTAGAAGGTTAAATCAAATAATTGGTGTAACTGTTTTGCTCCTTCGGTATCTCTTGAAATTTAAAAAACCGAGTTAGGTTTTTTTTTTATTTTTTTTTTCTTTTTTTTTCCGAACATTATTATGTTAACAACATGTGTAATTAAAGGCTGTAATAACCTTATTAGATAGCTTGATAAGGGAGTTTTTTTCTAATTAGACAACGTATGGACAACTTTTGTAGTTTTAGAAAATACGAAGTATTATATACGTAGCAAACTTACAGTTCCGTGTCTATTTAGATTTTTACTAAACAAAATTGCAAATTCTTCTTAAAGGTGGTCTGGGCCTCTATATCATGCTACCTAAAATTCAGAAATGT